GCTAATAACATTAGAATGGGCAGCAGAGTGAACAGCAGCACAGCCAGGTGTGCCAGAAGTTCTCACTTCATCTGAGCTCCTGACCTACTAGAAGGCAGGAAAAGGTGATATAACTTAGCTGGAATAAATTTCCTTTTCATCATTTACTTGCTTTTTCTCTTTGGGCCTGTGAATGCCTCGAGAGCTGTGCGAAGTCTTCTGGAACAGCATCTTCAGGTATCAGGTGAGTTGACCTCAAGGCCACCATCTTATAAATGATGCAATTCAAACCTCCAAGGTCAAACTCCTGCACTAAAAGATGTCCTTGTAAAGACATTGGAATATATCTATATATTCATTACTTTGTTCTCTCTTTCTTTATATCTGGGTTTGGGAAGAAAAAAGGCCAGTTCAGTAGAAAGTACCCTCCTCCCTGTCCCATTAACCTGCTTTTATTTCCCTGGCTACCTGAACACAAAAAGAAACAGCAAACCAGTAGCGAATCATCCCCCTGAGCGACTGTAAGTGGGGTTGAGAGGGGGGCTTCATTTCTTCCTTGCTGAAACCCAGCAGCCCCACTGTGCTGAACAGTTGTGATTCTTGACGGTGGGCCAGCAAGCAGAAAAGTGGAGCACTGCTACAAGCCAGCCCAGCTAGCTAGGCATCATCACTAGCACACCATGCAGCTGAGGGCTCATACCACCATCACACCATATAGCAGCTTTCCACCTTGGCTCATCGTGAATTCAGGGTTACATTATTCCCATGAACTGCTGCCTGCGTTCCCGTGTGGAAAGCCAACAAGGGAACATGCTAGCCTTCTGAAAAACCATAGTCTGTGAGGAGGAAGGGATTAGGAGGGAACAATGTCAGAGTGTCTTCAGTGAGCTGGAAGCAATCCCAGCTTCTAGCTGCACAATGACATGCAGGAAGGAGTTCTGAAAGCTTCCCAGACACAGCGGACCCCTGTGTGCCAGGCTCGGAGATGTCTGGACATAAGAATGGCCTTTACAGCATAAGGATGCAAGAGGACTACAGAGCCCCACACACAGACCAGCCCTGGCCAAGCAGGGAATGGTGGCTCAAGCTTAGCTTTTTCTTTCTTGGCATTGGGTGCTAATTGTGTAGTCCAGATTCTTAACCTTATTTAGGTCAGGGGCTTCAGCACAAAACAGTCTTAGAAACACCAAGCTGGTGTGGGAATGAGAAAGTCTGCTTGTCCAGACCCAGAGCTCTCCAAATATTGGAGCTGAAGTGCTATCGTGTGTTGGAAAGGGATGACAGGAGGAGATCACACTTGAGGGGCTGCATAATAGTGGTGCAGAATTATGTCTCATGCAGCTTTCAGTATGATTTGCATGTTTTGTAACAAGCTCCAAGGCAGATAAAGCAGCTCTTAACACACTATGCGCAGGGCACGATACAGGATTGTGTGGATGGCCACGAAGACATTCTCCGTCGGTTTGCCCTGCCAGCCACTGCGACACCATGCCTTCCTCATGTCTGACAGATCTTCTTGAGTTTGAACAAGTGATAACCCTCCAGAACTGGTGGAGAAATGGTGACACTGGCAATGCAGACACCTCCAGGGAACAGGAGCAAGAACATTGAATGCTGAGCCTTGGTGACAATTTTATTGGATTCAATATTGGACATAAAGCAACATAAAGAGGGAACCGGTAATTCTTATCAATGATGCTTACACATGTGCAGGCCTACAAAGTCCACAGAGCAGAAATTATAAACCTTTCACAACACTGATCTCATTTCTGTTTCTTGATTATTCTGAGGATGAAGTAATCATTGCTCCATGGAAAGTATTTAAGATTATTTGAAGAGGTGTGCCACACACAGACTTTGTTGGCATGACTGCCACCTAAAGTTATGCCATAGAAACAATCTATTAAAAAAACAAACCAGTGATTTAATACCTGTAGACAATAATACAGTACTAAAATATATCAAGCTTGCCATTCATTGCATCCATAAGGCAAACAGGGTGACAGGAAAACATGCAGAAATGTTTGACTGAGTGAAGCATCTAGGAGGATGAAAACAGAATAATCAAACTCTCCAAAATTTGACCACCAACTCATAGGGAAAAAATGTCTGGATTTGACAGCATTTTCAAGTGCATCCCAGTTTTGAAGAGTAGACCTGGGAGATGAAACTTGAGCCAAGCACTGGAAACAATAAAAATGGAAGCAACAACCTCTGTGCTTTAAATACACATGCAAATCTCTGCTCCAGAAGAACTGAAGTTTCTAGACCACCACACTTACATTCCTAGTGAAAAACACACTTAGGTATGATTTAGTAGAGTACACACACTAAGTGCTGATCTGGCTGTAGATTCCAAAATAATCCCCCAAAACATACCAGTAAGTACTTAAAAAAGTGGGGCACAGGGAGCCTTGCAATGGACAACTCAAGCACTCTCCTACAAATACCAGAGCTTAGCCAAATCAAGCTGGCACTGAAGACAAACGACACTGCTGTGACAAAGCTGATATTCCTCCAGTACTTTCTACTTTTAAGAGATATTTCGAACAGCGTGCTGTGTTGAAGGGCTGCTAGACAAAAAGATTCTTCTGATATAAATTCATCAGTCTCTCCTCACAGAGCTGACATCTCCAGACACTATCTTTGAGAAGATAAGATGCATATGGAAGAGGAATTGTAAACTGTCAGTGCACGTGCACCCGTACAGCATAATCAGATTGGAAAAAATTGCTGAGCGCTCGTGCTGCCAAGTGCCTAACGTACATACAAACTCCTTTCAAACAACTGCTCTAGGAAGTTAAAAATAATTCCATGCCCAACACATTAGGAAGTTAACAAGTTATTTTTCTGCAGAGCTTTTGGTACCTCTGAGGCATAGAAATCAAAACATAAATTCTTTTTTTCCTTTAAAGCAATGCTGCAGGAGCCTCCTTTAATTGCAAGAATTCCTAACACCCCCTGAAATAAAAGGCAAGGCTGCAGTGTTCAAGCAGGTTTGGCCTGAAACTTGAGATATCTTTAAAGGTACTAATTTTCAAAATGTCTGGCAAGAGGCTTCAGCAGAGGAGAAAGAAATGCTGCAGCAAATCTTGGAGCAAAAAGACAGTGTTAGAATGATTTGGGGGAAGTATCACAGATGATCCAAGGAAACTGAAGTCCTCAGCCTTGTAGGTGAGAGATAGTATTATTCAACCCTCATGGTGTGAAAGCAAAGGCTTGAACGAGAAGCACTTGAAATAACTGGAAGTACTCAAGGTATGTCAAGACGATTTAAAACCCAAGTGAAGTCAGTGCAAAGGGTTTAGTTTCAGTAGGACTGGAAAGAGGACATGGAAGAGAGTCATGTTCAGGTTGCAAGCTTCAAAGATAAGGTCAAGGATAGCATCAAAGATAGAAACAAGTTTATGATGCTGTTTCCTTTTAACCTATGGACAACCAATACACAAATATCTGCCCAGTGTCTTATCTTTGGTTTCTTTTTGCCAAATTTGATTGCACAGCTGGGCAATATAGAGGGTCACCATCATTCTGACACACCAGCTCCTCAAAAAAGCTGCTGCACTATACACACACACACCAAAAAAAGCAAAAAATGGATGGAGAAGCAAGTCAAACCACAGCCAAGTTCAAGGGCTCTCAGTTTAAATAAGAAATGGGAAACACCACATGCTTGGAGGTGGCTTTTGCACAGCTTCCATCCACCAGCAATGCTTTCAGAATTTTTAGTGACAAGAGCTCTGAGTGGAAATTGTCCCAATATCTATTAAAACCACAAGCTGATGACTGAGGACTGTTCAATCCCTGAAATTTTATCTCATCCTTTAAGTCATGCCTTCCTTTTCTGAGTGCTGCTTTGCACCAGGGAACTCAGAAGCAATTAAAACAAGACATTGGGGAGTTTTTTTGCAACCAAAGGGCAATCTTTACCAAGAGATCCCTCTGGAATGTATTTGAAATACATCTGTGCTATCTGCCAGTGGTACCAACCCCTTTGCCCTCACCCAGGCCACATGCTGTTCATTGCTCAATGTTGTGTTTTTGGGAGGGCAGCCAGCACGGAAGACAGCAGGCAGAGCTGGTAGCACAGTCTCCATTGATTATGAAAGGGCAGTGTAAACACAGCTAGAGATAAGGG